TTATTAAATGATGAAATCAGGCACTGCTAGTGACCCTTATTGGCGCTGGGTCACGAGTTTTCCCACAAAGCGTGAAACAGGTCACAGGACATTCAATATAATGACGCAGCAACACAACAGTCTTTAAGAGAAAAATATCTACCAAGAGAGAGTTAAGAAATAACAAGAAAAAGCACGTCCACTCATACAGCACGAATGTAGTTTCGACCTTACACCACTCACGCCAACAAGTGATTTGCAGGCTTGCCAGTGCATGCTCGTGATTCGTTTGTAAAGATCTTCGAATCTCAAAATCTGCAGGACCAATTCGTACGCACAGTAGAGTCTGTTAGCCGCAATGAAACTTTCCTTTTGTCTACATTGGCTTAAGTATTAATCGTGATGAACCATCGGGTTCTGCAACCAGAGTGTTACCAACTTGCTAATATTATTATCCTCTCAACACGTAGCAATAGGCCACTACGGAAGTTTTCAAAGTTAGTTATCACCTTAAGGGGAAATGTGAATTCTTCAAGGATCGTCTGGAAGTCTGAAAGAAATGCAGGGCTACACAGAATCTTCGCGTTCGACAAAAAACCTTATTAATCGCTTTATGTGCATCTGTGGTGTCGTGAAATGAAAACCGAACTTGGATTATTATCACTAGAACGCATTTCTAATGTAATATAGATGGATGATGCTGTTGGTCAAAACAAGAATTGGGAGCGGTTACATTTTATCCCACTTAAAAGTCACGCCCAAAATGAAACAGTTTCGGCCTCAAGTTCAATTACTAAATGGAGAACTCACTTCCGTGTAATCTGGCTTCGAAAATGACATTAAATTCAATCTAGAGATGGAATAAATGTGACGATATAGTCTCACAGAAAATTCGGAGTGAATTTAATTTACTAAATGGAGAGCATTATGTAAATAGATTTCGAAAATTATATTAGCCTGGCGCAATTTTGTAATTTTTAAAATTAGAAATGGGTGTAACTCAATTTCATTTATGAAATAAAGCTTGGATATGCAAGTGATTAGATTTAAATTATATAGGATTTGAGACTTTCGCGGCGAGTACAATCAACAAAATCTTCTCGGGCAATCAGCCGCTTTAACTGGTTACCGAAGTAAACCGACGTTTCGGGAACAAACTTCGGTTTACTACGTTATTCAGTTAACGCTGCTGATTGCCCGAGAAGATTTTATTGAGATTTAAGTTATGTTTTTGCATGTGTTGGAAATGTTGTTGTATTAAGGCCTATTTGTAAATGACATTTCAGCTACATCAAGAGAATACATTGAATGAAAAATATTTAACGATAATAGGCTGTAGCGAAGTACAATACAGCTGCTTTGCGGGTTTGCGGTCTTTTGGGCAACGTGATCGTTAGAGATATAACATTCCTGGAAATTTTGAATCGTGGGGGAAACAAAGGAAAACCGGGAAAAGAAACATTTGATTTTCAGCAATAAAAATTTAATAAACTGATAATTTTATTAGACCATTTCTGAATTTGAGTAAAAGCAAATTTCATGACACAGTAGGCCATGTTAAGTCACGGATGGCTCGTCCTAATGCTGCGGATGGAGGAGATGGTCTCCAGATACGGAGCGTAGTGGCGAATTCGTACGTTGAATACGTAATCGCGAACAGCCGAAAAGGGGTTGGGCGAGGGACTAACAACTCCCTACCGTAAAAGCAGCATTTTACGAAATTTTACACGGAGCCTTGAACTTTGACAGATTTTTTGGAATGACCTAAGTAACGAAAAATGGACTTGAGACTTGGAACTTGTAATATCAGGCATCTCTAGTGGTCAAGTTCTTTGAAAACGGAATCGATAGATTTAGCAAAATAAAAATTACATTACATTTATTGGCAGTAACAGGAGGTCATATGGGTCAAGAGTGGTCCTGAACCAGCAGACTTTATTTTCCTTTCTCTATGGGAATGTGGTGTGACTTTATCACGCAGCTCTGCAAGCTGCCTCTGTAGGCAGACTGTGTTTGCAGGTTTTCCACTGCGCGACCTGACTCAAAAGATGGTATTACTTTGTTACATGTGCCTAAGATGTGAAGGGGAGTTGCTCACGCACGTCGTGGAGTGCGTGCGTGGCGCAAATCTGTTGCACGCTACGATCCAGATTATAACAGGTCATCCACATTAAAACGACCCCCGTCTTCACAAGAGTATTGCGCTTTACAAGACGGGGGTTCAACGTCGTAAATTATTACGTGACTCTACTCCCAAGTCGCATACATTTTATTAAAATTAAGGAGATTTTGACAGTTTTTAGGCGATTTCCCTACCCTGCGGAGCGTCTATTAAGACAGTTGTTCGTCTGTCTGTCTTTCCGTCCTACGCATAAATAAACAAGAGACCAAATAACCGATTCTAATTAGCTTTCATATCGAATAATTTTATGAACAGTTGTTGAGATATTTAATTTTTTACTCGGTCAGTTTAAAAGATTAATTTGCATAGAATAAAATGGTTAAAATGGTTAGCTTGACCCTGTTATCATGTCTACATATGTATGAACTAATATCCCGTTTTATAAGAGTATTGCAGATACTATGGGAAAATGTCAGGAAAGTCTTCAACGTTTTTTTTAATGTTGGCAAATTGGGGCCGTAACTTATAGAAGCTTCTGGTGAAAACCTGTATGAACCCCCCTCCCACACGATACATAATCTGATCCATCTCCATTAGACTCCTTACACAATTAGACCATCAATATTCATCTTAAACGTCATCTGAGATTCCTATTCCCCCCACACTTGAAGATAAGCCACCGATTGAAGCTTCAAGGGCATCGCAGTGATTTGAAACATTCACTCACCATCACGTGCAATCTTCACACTCAATACCTTGTTCCATTTTGCATCTAAGAAAACGATGTGTTAAAGTTTATGGTATAGAATAAACTCAGAAAAGATTATGCAAGTTGTTCATGTCTCAGACGCCACCAGATTGCAGAACAAAATCATAATATAAAGACAGAAGCTATGTCAACGGACAATGTAATAGACGACACGTATAAAGATTCACCTTTATTTATATAGTAGTATAAGAATGCTGGAGCGACTGTTAACGTCTCGAGAAGGAATCTGCTCATTGAATTTAAATAGATATGCTACAATGTGCTTAATCCTTATTCAAACACGCGTTTTGACTTTTGTTTCTCAATATATAAGATTAAAACAATTGATAATCGGGAGTCATATACGTTGACTGCATTTTTACGTTATATAGATTACTAATATATATATAACTGTAAGTTAAATTTACATTATATTTAGCAACTTTACTCTTGCTTTATCCTAAAACTCGCTTTCTTGCTTCCTCGAGCTTATTCCTTGCTTTGTTTGTATTCTCCATTGAGCAGGAAACAGCAACTGCCTAATCAGTTTGCATACTTTTCTGTGCTACTGCATCTTGTCGAAAAAATCAACATTAGAATATGGAATTACTCAGATAAGAAGTTGAACTCATACCTTGTTCTTATATACACAACTCGACCTAGAGTTCGATAGAAGCTTTGTTTGGCGTTTTGTTTTCGTCCACAGGCTTACTGTTAAAGTGTATAAAATTACAGCAAAGAGATAGAAAATAGGTTTTTACTTCCCGCAGACAAACCGCTTTCGGTAGAACGACATTGATATTCAACAACGACAAGACAACCCAACTTCCGCTCCGAAGGCAGCAGACTGTTAAAAAAAATAGGCACTGCGTATTTTTGGCAGACGCGCGGTATCTTACTCGTCTTCCCCATACTCCTACATTTTCAATTAATCTTGTTTAGTAGAGACCGCGCCCTGCCATTTGGAGGAATGATGTAGTGCGGTATTACATTTAGTTAACGTGGTGTAAACAGAACGACGAGATAACAGAGCTGAATCCTTGTGTCATGCCACATTAATATAAATAGTGGTAGGATGTTAGTGAGAGGTTCTGGATAAGAAACTTGGTCGTCAGACAAAATCATTTGTGTACTGATTGGAAGACGGATTTTGACGTTTCCAACATCCAATCTAAAACAAAGCCTTTGGCTCTTGCAGTTCGAAAATCAAATGTTATGGTAGGTTAACGGGATGATTGGTTCATAGTTTCAGAATTTGATTGAGCAGTGATGCAAATCTGTTGTACAAGAATGAATAGACGCTATCAGCTACCAAGAGACATACTCAATGGTACTGTTTATTTCTGTACATTTAAAGATGCTGTCAGTAGCTAAGCCGTTGGCTATGCCCCTCGTTAGAAACGACCGTGATTTCGCATGTCAGCGACCTTGACTGCATGACCTAAAACTACATGTATAAAGAGAGGTAGATTCCTCACAGTCGTGCGTATTATTATTGTTGTTGAGTTTGCACTGCACTACATAGCCACTGTTCTCAGTGAGCTGTCACTTTTTACACATGCCTTTACCACTGATTTTAAAGTGTTTCCTTGTTACCAAACTGCATGTTTCAATAAGTGGTCGTCATCTGTCTTACGTATGTGTTGCAGCTACTGCACTTTCTCAAAGCAGACAGTAGTCTCTTGCATTCAGTATTTTTGTTCAGATAAAATAAACACAAAAATTTAATCGGTATTATTGTTAAATGTCTTTTAAATCACTAAAATGAATCCCATTGCATCTGTAGGCCAACATGTGTTAATGTTTTAACAGTGCTCTAGTGCAGTAGTCCATGGTCAGTTAGTTCGCACATAAGCTGTGCCACATGAACAATAAACACTAATATCTGATAAAGAGTAAAAATTATGAAGTTCTTGATTATGCACTTTTCTCCATCTGTTAGGTGCAAATATTTCCCTAGCTTCCCTATTCTCACTACACACAATTGATTTTTGCCCTTTAGGGTATAAGACCAAGTTCTGTACCCATATAAAACAACAGATAAAATTATATTTTTCGTATAGTTTAATATTTAACATTTTAGATAGGAGACAGGAAGGTAAATTTCTGAACTAAAGGGTAGCAAGCATTCCACAGATTTAGACTTCAAACTTCTTTGTTAATGTATTCATGTTTTCCTACTGTCATTCCAACTAATTTATTAAGAAAAATGTGATACATTGAAGCCTGAAACAAAATACACAAAATGAAATCAGTTCGGTCATCAATAAACATAACTGAAGAATTCATACTCTCAGCATTCCCACATCAGAATTCTCTTCAAATGTCGGCTTGGTGATGATAGCATTTCCTCGTCTTTCACCGTTTTCCTCACTTAAAATCTTGTTTCTTTCTTTTTTTATGTTTCTTCTCCTTATTCTTAGGCTTTAAAACATCATCATGATCATCTGGCTTAACCTTTTCAAAAACAGCTATAAAGAAACCCGTGGTAAAATCAACGTCTGGTGTGGCATAGATGCACCTAGGACCCCATTCAAAATCTTGAGAACCATGATATATCCATTTACTTTTGAGTTTATTGTCAACAACTTCAAAAACTGGACTTGAAGGATCAGTATTCACAGAGGCTAAAACTTGCTCCACTACATTCTCATTCTCTTCACAGTTAATGGAGCATGTTGAGTAAACAACACGCTTTACATCAGGGAATTTTGTGAGGGCATGTCGCAACAACTTGCACTGTAGACGAGTCAGCGACTGTAGTCGTGAAGCACTGCACTTTTCATTCTTTACCTCGGGCATTTCAAGCGCACCTGTAATAAATGAATTGTTGCATAAAATTAACTCTTAGACCAATTAATGGGTTATTTGCCCACACAAAAGGAAAATTAAATACTGGTCATATATATATATATATATATATATATAAAATTTCAAAGTTTAAGCTAACCTATCAGCAACAGTAGTTGTCATGTGCATAATATTTTGTACTCTTATAGAAACTACATACTGACAAGAAATGAGAAAAAACATACATGTTCTTGTATTTGCTGCAACCACAGATCTATCACAGTAATTTATTTGTAACATTCGCCATTATCTACTTTCATAATTGCTCCACTTTATTGCATAATCTATGTACATCAAAACAAGGGTGTGGCAATTACACAGGTTTCCCCATATAATATGAAAGTTATCACTGAAAGTAATGAAGTTTAGAAATTATGAAAATTTAAAATCTTTTTATCAGAAAATAATACAACTCATAGATGGTTTAAATCCCCATATTATGGTGCTGCTTGCCAGACTATAACTCTGAGGTTATGCTACTGCAGTAAATGGCATAATATGTGATACATGGCCAATAAAGGTTACACTCAACATACAAGTATCATACTTTTCTATTCCTCATGTCAGAATTTACCTGAACCAGAACAGGTGGGGTCAACCAGGATGTACTGAACACCTGGGAACTGTTTTGCATCAAGCTGGAAAGCATCCATGTACAAGGGCTTCACACATGTAGCACCATGTTTCTCAACCTGCTTGCAAAGAGTCCCGTAACGATCTTTAACTGCGTCCACTGCATACAGTAAGCTGTATGAAAACATGCATTCATCAAATCAATAATGTAGTACCACAGTCTAAACTAAAGAAAGATACTGGATGATGCCTCTGGATCCTGCGTATGAAGCAGAAAGTTTTGGAACTAAACAATTTTATATAATTAAGTCACCACTTAATATATATGTAAACTGCATTCAACAGAAAATTAGCCTCTAAGTATCACCCACATTGGATCATGGCAAGCCTAGAAGATTCTGCTTCGTTGTACAAGTCAGTCATATAAGACACATTAACTGAAACTAACATTTTTTAATATTACATCTTAAACACTGATATAAACTTCAATAGTATACAGAATGATAAAATTTTTTGAACTTACCCTTCATTTTTCATGAGGGATGCAAGATGTGTAGTTTTCATTCCTGGGGCTGCACACATGTCCAGAGTAGTACTCCCTGGTGGAGGGTTGAGAAGCCATGATGCCAGACAACTTGCCTGAAATATACAGTGAAAATGGCATAATATGTTTTGTTTATAAAGTAACCTGTGTATAGAATTCTTAACCAATGTGAAACATACAATTTCTCCTTAGTGTAAGAATATGTGTACTGCATATGTATGGTCCTATTCAGTTCAAATTACAGTACTAGTATGCCACTGTCTCTGTACAACTGAAGACATCAACAAATAGGTGAAACTTTTAAAAATGTTTCATACTAACTTTGTCTTGTAGAATGATGGAGCCATTTTGGTACAGTGGGTGTGTATAAAATTCCGTCTTATTTGGAAATATGAGCATTTCTTTAATGTGCAAGTCCTGAATAAATTCATCATTAGCCAATGAAGCAACCCTGTGGAGGAAAGATGAGTAGTCTTCTGACATCCGGTTATAACAAACTTGTTTCCATCCCTCATTACAGAAAATGTTAATGGCAGCATGGACTTTCAGAGTCAAGGTGTTGACTCTGACATATCGTGGTCTGCTGTCTAAAACATAATTTAAAATAAAACAAATAAAACCAAGAAATACCTTCAATTCAACTGGTCATATTTTACAGAATTAATGTAAAGCTTTGTTTATTCACACAGTTGTTAATATCTCTGAATTTTGACATTTGAAGGTTATTAGACAGGACACTAAAGACATTTTAAAACAGAGGTAAAGGGGACTTGAAGTGAGTGAGTGAAATTCTTGTTGGCATGGTTTGCAAAAGATTATGAAATCTCTCCCTTCGAGTTCATAAAATATACAGGACAAAAATGCTGATAAAAATGTTGATTTTTACAACTGCAAATGTTATACAGCATACAATTACATGAACAGATGGTCATAAGCAATGTGTGTCTAGGCTGGAGCAGTTGTAGTGCATTTGAAGGTATCACCCTCAAGACCTTTAAGTTTGTACTTTTAAACCATTTCAAATTTTAAAATATCTTGTTCTCTCATTTCTTTTTTACACTGAGAATGTCTCCAAAACAGCAAGACACAATTTATTTACCCCATTAAAATTAAATCCGTGGCGTAACAGCTTCAGAGAGCCAAAGCCGACTAACTTGACTGCTGGCCTCACGTTCACATGCCTAAGTAGAGGTGAACGATCATCCAACCAGATATAGGGTGACGTGTGGTCAGCACGACGAACCCCCAGCCATTGCTAGCTTTCCTGACCGGATTACGCTACCCATTGTAGCTCCCCAATCTCCTCACGATGCTGGGTTGGCACCAGTCCCATACACTGGTCGAAAGCTCGTGAGAAAATTTCTTCACCTACCTTCCTTACTCTGTAACCAATCTGGTGATTATATTCAAACTGAAGCATGTTTGTACTGTATGTCAGCCAAAAACAATATGTTAAAAACACTTTCATTACAAAACATTCCACTAGAGTTTAAAAAGAGTAAAGCTATAGAATAAGATAAACAGTGAAACAGTATAAAATCTGGTAGATCTGTAACTTATATCATAATTCTTGGAATTGTGTTACTTTATGAAGCTTATTCTTGGTAATTTTTCCATTTTAAAATCAATGCCCCTCTCAGTAGCAGATTCATTTACTGTAACTGCATGGATTTGGAATACAATTCACACTACTGACCATGAAAGACAACCTGTTTTCCTCCAATAGGTGTTACAGATAATTTCTTACCCGAGTAGGTTTAATTTACTAACACCAAAGTTGGCATACAACATTTATATCTGAATATTCCAGTATGTTGCCTGCATAGATGGTGGAATTAAAATGCCACAGTGCTATATTGAACTTCATTATAATATGGAATAGTACATTTGTATTGCCACGGATGTTGGTACATGACAACTAATGGAGGTGTGTTTTAATGAGGGATTTGATTTGAAATTACATGTGTAATTTCTGTTCTGAGGCATTCTTTGATGCAATGCCAGGGTAGCATCATACAGAGCAGTGCTGTACTGGGGTTTTACTGTACTTCCACAGACATCTCTCACATTTTCTCCCTTGTTCCACTTTTATCTTTATACTGAAACTATTGCTAATGAAATAACCACAACTGCCTCAACCCATACTAAACAGATTGCTTTCATTATGCATCTGATCCACCTTAACAGCAATATTGACTTTGGTCAAATTTTATAGTGATTTGATTTATACAAATATAATAATTTCATTCTAGAATAGAATAAAATATAATTTACTTACATACATAGATCCTTCGTAGGTTTATCCAAGGATGTAGAACACTTCATAGCACAAATACAATACCTGTTTCTAATACAAATATAAATTGCATAGTTATAAGATTCAACTACAATATTACTGCAAAATTAAATACAAAAAGTATACCCACTACTGCTTACATGTATTTATAATAGCTGAGAATTGTTGGTTGAAATAAATTCTTATATGGAGTAGGAGTAAGATAGCACAAACTCTTTTGGTGCTGGCTTAAACTTCTTTAAATTATAATTCAGACTTTTTATACTTTAGAAATTATTGAATAGCTTAATTCCAATATAATAAACTCCTTTTTGATATTTACCAAGTTTAGAGTTTGGCAAGTGAAGGCTATATCTGTATCTTGAACTTATACTGTGTGTATCCGAATTTGTTTGAAATTTTTCTATGTTGTCTACTACTAATGATAAGAATGAGAACAAGAACTTTCTGGTTAGTGGAAGAATATTAAATTTCTTAAACAATTCCCTACATCAGATTCTCCCTTTGGGGCGTGCCATTATTTTAACGATTTTCTTTTGGATGTAAAATAATTTTTTGCTGTCTGTTGAGTTTCCCCAGAAAAAAATCCAGAATGAATGGAAGTAAACAATTTACACCAAATTTTAAGATTCCATTTTCATGAGTGATGTGACAGTCCTCGTAGCAGACCATGCTGAGCTTAGTTTAGAAACAATGTACTGAATATGTGTTTTACAATTTAAATTACTCTCAATTTATAGGCCAAGGAATTTAGTTGTTTCTACTTTTTCCAATTATTCTATCATCATACTCTATACCAGTTTCACACAATTTTTCTTCGCAGTACAAAATTTCATAAAACTTGTTTATTCAGAATTTAATGTGTGTTTACTGGTTTTAATCTATCTGTAAAAAACCTACTGATTGCAAAGGCAACTTAAAGGAACACTAACATAGTCTGCACAGCTTTTAAGTAAAGTTGTTGATATTCCATCATAACCATATTAATTTTTTTATTTGGCAGCATTTATTATACTTTAATTTCATTCACTGCTGTGGGCATAAGATTTGTTTGGAAAAGTTTTACAGATTACATCTTCTGTTATAGTTATAGTGTTATTGTTCATTCTTTCTATACTTGTTAAGAAGTCAGTATTGAAATGATATGCTAAGAGTTAAGGATTTTTTATTGCATTATCATTTATATTTAATAATGGTGTCACTTCTTCTGTAGAATATTTCATTTTCCTTTTTCACTATTTTTCAGATTGCTTTATTTTATTATTTGACTCTAGTATCTAACACGTGTGTATCGAAATGTATGAGAACCAGAACAACAATTTCCACATACATAATACAATAAAACATCAAAGAAAGTTTACTTCACACAGGGGTAGATTTACCAAGTGCCCTCTGATTACTCAGAAAGCTATATATTCACTTAAGCAAGCTATTACATCTGCCTAAATATATCAGGTACTTTAGACACATTTGTTTAACAGCTGCTCATGAAATTAAATGAATCACCATTATATGGACCTAGGTTATATAAATATTGACAGCCCACAGAAATAATAAAAGTGTGCACATGCAAAGACAAATAAAAATTAAGAATATATAATTAATTTTATAGTACACATAGTGTAAAACAGTAAAACAATTTCAATTTCTGCAATTCCATAAGTAACAATATGAACAGTTAAAACTGTTTTCAGATCAAGATACTTCACTCCTCAGCAATTTTCAGGTCATCATATTTTTTACAACTGGACAACAAACAATATTTTCCAGTAGATGTTTAATGCATCAAGTCTAAAGAAAATTACAAAAAAATGCCATACAGTACTTTAGAATATCTTTTCAATCTGCTTTTAGGTTCAGACCAGTCTTGCATTGCTGTTGATTGCTGTCTTGTTCTGTGGACTCCACATCCTCGTGGTAACCCTTGCAGGCATATAACACAATAATGGTATTGACCACTACCACTGCTGCCACTACAGACCAAGCTGTGTTGGCAAAACCTTCAACCCCAAAATGTTTCAAGCCATATTTGGTTCCAACATAGGCCACAAAAGGTAAGGTAAACATTGCCATGCTGTAGAGAAGGAAATAAGCCAGAACCCTGGCTGTTTCCATTGTGCTGTTGCTAGATGAAGATGGTGGAGGAACCACTGCTGATACTTGTGGACGATATACTTCATCCAGTGAATCGCTCCTTACTGATTCCATTATTTATTTCAGCAAAGCAAGACTAGATCTGTAAAAATGCAGAATGAAAAAGAATTTAGGATCATTTTCTTATTACCTCTCTTCTGATAAGAATCCAATCTGACTGTTCCTGCAGTCTCTGCCTCTTTTAGTTCTGCAAGTAATATTGGTTGATGTGATAGAACAGCTTGCACAGGCTTGCTATCTCCACTGAGACATTTTTTCCCAAACAGAAGCTCTGTTATTAATATTCTAATCAGCCATGGGTCTACTTTCCTTTCTTTTAGAATTTTGCTTTTTTGTATGAGCCTCTCTAATGTATCTTCATGATGGAATGTTTTAATTAATAAGGCATATAATCCCCGAATATTCTGAAAGAAAAAAACCAAAATTTAGGTTTAACCTTGCATATGAAATTCTGAAATATGCCAAGATAACGAACATTCAATGGAATTTGAGCTGTAGCTTTTCAACTGCAACACACAGTACCTTACCACTAAATGGACTACACTGAAACTTGGTACAGGGAATCTAAAAATTGTTGAAATCATTTAATTTTGGTCCACATCAGTTTGACACAACACTAACAATGCAGGAAGCTCAAACTGAACTTCAATTTTTATGTCCTGAGTGGTTGAATCCTTTCAATGGAAGACCCCACATAAGGAGTACTACCAATTCTTAAAAAGAAAAAAAGGTTTAAAATTATGGCATAAAAATACAATACGATACACAATTGTTGATCTGTCAAGCTTCCTGGCTTAGAACCCACAATACATGCCACAAAAATAATAAATCTTCTTAAGGGGTAATGAACTATCCATTAACAAGTTTGTGAAGAATGCCACTACTTACCAGGTGCTTGTTAGCACAGAATACCAGATCCCTTAAACTACGATGTTCTTCCTTGGCCCTTTTCGCAATGTTTGCAGCTGTTTTGTAAAATTTTGGAACTTTAACTGAATGCTGTGATTTAACTGTAGCTGATTGCAATTTACTCATGTTACATTACCGCTTGTCAGAAGACTGAGAAGAAAACGCCTTTACCACACCGATGCCTTGCTACCAACTTCACTAATCATGTGGTGTACTTAAACCTAATTTAATATCAAACACAATGAAAAATAAGTAACTATATATTTCAGATTTAATTTCATTTAAGCTAAGTTTTAACTATAAATCTGGAAATATAATTAAGAAAATCAGCAGCGTTAACAACTTGTTATAAAAAGTGTTGGTCCAATGCTGTTGGTATTATTGTATTATGAATCAGCTGGATGGCTGGCTGTTGTTATTGCGTGTAACATATCTGTTTATTTTTATGAATGTGGTTAGTAAACAACATATATTGCTTGATGTATCAGTGTACTTAAGAAATTATTTAATCAGAATTCGCTGCCATGAATATTTTTGGATTTTTTAATATATTAGCATGAAAATTTTGTTAGGGATTGTAATTGCCACCATATATTCTCAGACTTGAAATTGTGACTTACGGGTTTATATTACAAATTTATTTTTATTTGTAGGCTTCCAAGATGTGAACTATTGGCTTTCAATAACTCATCATTAGACTGGGTTTCGGATATAACTTATTGATCAGCATGGTTCACATACCAAGTACATACACCTATGACTTTTGGTTACGGGCTTCAACAGACCCGTCGGTAGAACTGAGCTGCCTGATGCCAAATGGAATTTTCATTCCTCTTGAAGTTAAGAAAAATGCCACACTTCAAGAAATTAAGGAGGTAAGCTAATTGACTAGAAGTTCCCAAGCTATTCTATTCTATGTTAGTTTAGGAATTTTATATGCACACACTTTGTTACAAAGAATATTTTGCTACTGGATCAGCCTGCTGACTTCTTATATTGTTCACATGCAGATTTTCTGGTATTTGTTTGAAAACAATTTTTTGTTCTATTGTTATTGGCTTTGTATCCTCACATGAGAGCAGAAATTCATAGTGAAATTGCATATTGAATTTGACTGTGCATAGGACCTAGTGAAATAAAGTTTTGTCAATTCCACCTTGAAGTTGGATGGGAAAGGGTTAATCAGATAGCTGCAGGTTCATGTGATCTCAGTAATGAACTTCCAAGTTCCTTAAATGACAAGGAATTCCTTAATCAGTTGGACAGTTATCAATTTCTCAAGAAGAATCCTCTCATCTTTTTGTTAGTTATAATTTCCCTTTTCAAAAATGTAAGATATGTTATTAGATGTTGATGCCTGTTGACAGGATCTCTGGGAGGAAGCCAGTAAATATCCTCTCCATGGAATGCTGCATGACTCATCCACATATGTGTTTGCTTGTATCAATTCTATGGCAGAAAATGAAGACCTACTTGATGAAAGTAGGCACTTATCAGACGTTCGACCATTTTGCTCAGTCTTTCGTCTTATTGAACGCAAAGGTGATAAAGCTGAAAACACACTTAATATACAAATAAGCCATCTTATAGGCAAAGGTATGTATATGTATTAAGTATAACTAACTAACTAGATGGCTTACCAACCCGAAGGTTCATCACTGACTTAACCAAAGCCCTCCACTGGACCCTGTCCTGGGCCAACAAAATCCAGTCTCCTTCAACTTCTATCTCCCATAGATCCCACCTGACATTATCCTCCCGTCTACACCTAGGTCTCCCTAGCGGTCTCCTCCCCTCAGGCTTCCCAACCAATGCCCAGTGCACACCTCTTGTCCTATCCATGCGTGCTACATGCCCCACCCATCTCATTCTTCTCGACTTAATCACCCTGACAATACTGGAGGAGGAGTATAAATTTCTAAGTTTGTCATTATGTAGTTTTCTCCAGATCCCATCGTCTTCTCTCCTAGGCCCAAATATCCTCCTCAACACCCTATTCTCAAACACCTGCAATCTATGTTCCTCCCTCAGAGTGAGAGACCATGTTTTGCACCCATACAAAACAACAGGCAAAATTATTGTTTTGTACACTTTAAATTTCAGGTTCTTAGAAATCAGACGGGAAGACAAAATATTTTGAACTGAGCAGTAGCAAGCATTTCCGGAATTTAGTCTCCTCCTAACTTCCTCATGAGTATCATTTTGATTTGTTATTGTTGTTCCCAAATATTTGAACTTTTTATTTATTTATTTATTAGCTACCCTAAGATGATTTTCCCAGCTTCTCTGCTGATGAGATACTAACATGTACTTAGTTTTTTCTGAATTTACTTCTAGCCCCACTTGTCTACTAGCCTCTAGTAAAACTTCTGTGTTCCTCTTTATTGTATTTATATCGCCCCATAATAAATTAACATCATCAGCATATGCCAATAGTTGATGTGTCCCATTCAATTGCAAGCCCTCCTGCCTATCTTGGACTTTCCTGATGGTATGCATTAAGTATAACAGTTTTAAATTAAACTCTCATATCTGTGTGTGTATGTATGTATGTATGTATGCATGCATGTGTGTCACAAGGTTTTTATACTAGTTTGCATCACTGAGATAGACTGATGAAGCACATATGTAGAAAATAAACAAGTAAAATTTGTTTCTGATAAGTAAGAAACTGTAGTGAAGTTTCAGTCATGATGGTTGCTTTTGTAATGTTCATTTTTGTAAACCACAACATTCTGTTTAACCTTAATATTAGCAGATTGTGTGAGAGAAAGAGTGGGATGAAGACTGTTTTAAGATTTTTGCCTGTGGTTATCAATGTAGTGAACCTGTGCTACAATATTCTATAGTATTTATATCTGTAATACATTTGTGTTATACATTTAAAGATATTTAGCAGGGATATCCACTTTTATCTGTTATTGTGGTTGGTATAATAGAATAATCAAACATTTTCATTTTCATTTTGAGAGGAAGTACCACTTGTAACAGATGTATTATGTAGTTATAATTGTGGATGTGTGTATATATGTAGACTAATGAAAATATGGTGATTGTTTGTAAGAGTTTGTATTACTGTAAATGAATAATCCATTAGGTCTTCATGAGTTTGACTTGCTAAAGAATCCAGAAGTGAATGACTTTCGATGGAAAATGCGCCTTCTGGGTGATGAAATAGCAAGAGAGAGGCAAAACAAGTCATGGCTTGATAAGATGTACTACCAGTTCCCACCACGACTTGCAGCCACTCCAGGACTTTCTCCTCTCATCAGTTCCCGACTTCGTGATGGCCATTTTGTACTTGGTACAAAGTTTGAAAACACAGAGGTATAATATAATTTTAAACATGTAAGAGTTACTGTAGTTTAAACCAGGCACCAGGAACTTTCATACAGTAGGGCTACACCCACATAGTCCTTTCATATACTGGTAGGCCAGAGCACATAAAACCTGTAAGGCTGTTGTTTTGTGTTGAGTATTTACATTGAGCAAATATGTTGTAAAATTTAACTGTTCTACATAAAATACATTGAATAATGATGATATCCTAACTGATGTCTATTGGAAAACTTTGTGGCATTTATTTTGTCTCACTTCCTGCTGTAACATTGTAATCATACTTTATTATTATTATGAAACATATTTTCTATTTATTTTTAAATTAGTGAGTGAGTAAACATTTGTATGTAAATATATTACTTGCAGACAACCTTCACGTTCAATGTTCACTATACAATGACACCACATGAACTTCTTCGAACAATCCTGAACAAGAAATCTATCACCCTCAACTCACGTGGTGAACATCCTGCTGATTTTGTTCTGAAAGTGTGTGGGCAAGAAGAATATTTGGTGGGAAATTATCCACTGACACAGTTCCAGTATGTGCAGGACATGCTGGCCAGGGATGGTGTTCCAACAGTAGTTACTGTCTCTCTTAACAGTGTCCTAGGTAAAGACATCTTTTACCTCTTATAGTATAAGTTACAGCCATGTAGGATTTGAGGTTTTCATGGTGCAACAACCCAGAAGACAGCCATCTTCAATTTACAGCCACCTTCCCTTTTACTGTGGCTGAGATTATAAGAAATGTTTCAGTATCTATAGATAGCTAGAATTTTTTTCTTTTGATGGTCTTGGAGTGAAAAGATCTAATGTAAAGCATTATTTACAGTAGGATGAGAAAGTTTTTGATTTTTCATTGTATTAATTTATTTAATTTTTCAGTGGATGTGGACAATGTGTATGAGAACCCAGAAGATGAAATTAAACATACTCGCCCTTCACCATCTACGCTAACATCACGCAAGAAAGGGAAGCATGTGTCTTCATGGACCATAAATGAAGAATTTACGTTTAGAATTACAGCAATCTGCAGACTTAACTGTGATGTCAATCGATCTGTTGAGGTAAGCAAATGGTTCTTTGATCACCATTTTGTTCATTTTTCTAAGAAAAACAAAATTAGTGATTGTATTTTGTCTTATGCCTCTGAGGAAGGCTGAATAGGCTACAGAATATTACCATTCTGATTTGCATGTAGTTCATATCTCTGTCACATAGATCATTTTCTTCATAATTGTCATTAAATCACTTTATTTATAGTCATGTCTGTGGGAAGGTGAATGATTCAATTTAAACATCTGGTTTCTTTGTAATGAAAGGAAACTAACACATCCAGTATCAAAGACAGTCTGCTGTGATAGGGATTAAACCAGATATTAGTGCCTCGGTGCTGTCAGATATACTCAGTGTAGTGGACCTGTCCATCTTCCTATCAGTATGTTGGTAATACCACTAACTCTCAGCATTCTTTTTGTGACTAATTTTTAGATATTCCCTGAATGTTTGGTATGTTCTGAATGATGAAAATCTGAATCTTCCGTTCCTTAATTACAAATCATGGTGTGGAAAGCTAAACATCTGCTGCTTGTTCACTCATAAGGGTTCTCTGACCCATTGCTATACTGTATGTTACATGACAAATTAATGCTGAAATCCTACTACACATTAGTGCTTGCATCTTATAGAGATGATTTGCATGAAGTGATCATTTGTACTGTCATATCAACAACTGGCAAAGGTGATACAGAATAAAATTTATTGGATTCAGATAGTGACTGAAATTTTGTGCATTATTGTGTGCTAATTAACATATTGACACAGTAATGTTGATGAAAATATAGAGATTGGTATTAGTGACAGATTTCGAATGAGGAAATATAGGGAATGAAAGGAACTTCTTGTTGGTAGACTGAGGCTTCTGGACACATGCCATTTTGGAAACTTCTTAGCTATTTTTAGTAAAGAATTTTTTGGAGTTACATTAGTAGAACTGACCACTATGCAGAACAATTCATAAATCATGGAGAGGAGGAACTGTGTTCAAACGAAGATCTTCGTTGCGGTCTTGGAAATACAGCAGATGAGATGTGTGTGTTGCTTTAAGCATTTATTTGCTAATGGGATGTTGGCCCCTGTATTCAACACTACCGCATGAAGCTAAAGTTATGATGAAATGTAAACATCTTCATGTTTTGCAGATATTATAGGCTTGGCCATGGAATTTGATTAAAACTGTAGACATTACCATCATTTCAGTACAAGAATCCATTTTTTGTGAATTTAATACCACATCTTTTCCATTTTCAGGTTATTTAATTGTTTGCGAATCCTTTGGTGGGTTAACGCATATCACTATGGTCTTAGTAATAGCATTTCTGTTGGTAAAGTTATGTAAAGTCCATGCATTTTTCATAGTTTTTACATTTGTGTTTCAGGTTGGTGTTCAGGCAGGTTTGTTTCATGGTGGAAAGTCTCTGTGTGAAACACAGAAGACAACAGAGAAACAGGTATCAAAAGAAGGGAGTTGTGAATGGGAGGAAGATTTGACATTTGATCTACAGGTGTGTAACATCCCACGCATGGCTCGTCTCTGCCTAGTGGTGTATGAGATCTCCAAAACTGCCAAAGGTGTCAAATCAAGAAAAGTGAAAGACTTAAAACAGGAGTTATACATTAATCCATTGGCATGGGTGAACACTACAGTTTATGATTTTAAGAATCAGTTGAAGACTGGTGCTATGACTCTGTACATGTGGACATATGCAGAGGATGTTCAGACTGAAGATATTCTGCATCCCTTAGGAACTGTGGTTTCTAATCCTAATGTGGAGCATGCTACTGCCCTCACACTCACATTCCACAGGTAACAGCTTTCATTTCACTTGCTGTTTTCAGACTCTTCTACAGTAATGTCAATGTTCGTATTCCAAGTTATAATGCCATTTGGCCTCATAGGTAGATATAAATTTTTCTCTGAAATGTTAGTATATACCTGTGAGTCCACATGGAGTTACAACCCAGAAGACCAACATTGACATCTTCACTGCTGTAAGAATCCCAGTCTAAGGTCTACTACAGTAAAATCCCCATTTCTGTAGAGACAAGAATTTGAATACTAAAGTGAGGAAAGTCTTAAGTGGAATGGATTTGATGCTGTGGTAATGGATCTGGTAGCAGAGAAACTGAATAGAAAGCGGGGAATATGGGGGGGAGGTCCCCTGTTTTGAATTGTGTCTGAATATTTACAGTATCATATGGAATATTAGATGAGTGGAAAATAAACAGGATTGTAATCCATGTGGTAGACTTCCTCAGTTAATTTTTGGCCCTTAATCAAGTGTGACATCTACACCATGTACTTAAAAATAATTTTGTGGTATAATTTCTAGGTACCATGGCAAGGAGGTGTGTGAGATTTCATTATATTTTATTTGGACATTATCCATGGTTGTCTTCTTGGTAAACTCTGATTAACCTTATCACCCTGATAATGGAGGCAGCAAGCACATCTGAAATATTGATAAACTTCTTTCAGACTATGTGGCACAACAACCCATTACAGTTTATATTTGCCACAATGAGAACCTGAAATCTCTGAAAGTATACCATGTTTGATTTTGTGTGATAGTTATATACCCTGAGTGAGAAAGTACATGCGAATTTAAAACTATGTAGAAATTATCACAAAAATTTTTATGGTACTGGTTGGAAGTATATAGTTTCTAATTAATTTGTGTTGATTCATGTATAGGTACCATGCAGAACGTACAGTGATGTACCCTTCACCATTACTGGAAAATGCAGCTAGTCAGAATTCAGGATATGATGTGCCAGGAACACCACTTGGTCAGACGAAGAGTCATCTAGAGTTCCTGCGTCAGATTGCAGAACGGGATCCTCTGCATGAGATGCATGACCAAGAGCGCAAAATAATTTGGAGTCTTCGCTATGAATGTCTCCATCATGTGCCCCACCTACTCCCTAAACTGTTGGACTGTGTAGAATGGAATGATCACACAGAGGTAGAGTATTGTTGTTCTTCATATAGCTATCTTCTGTCTTTATAGTCCAGTTGGTTCTGTTTAATCTCTACATATGATGCAGTAATATAATGACATTTTTTCTGGTTTACATTTGTAGGAAGCTCTTGTTTAGAGACAAATCTACACAGTGCTTACTATTTTACAAGTTTTGTTTAATTTTCCTCATCATTTTTGCTTCTGAGATGTTCTTGGAAATAAATATCTGTAAAATTAAAAAGTAAACTTATGTGTGTGTTCAGATCGTCTCATGTTTATCCATAGTGAGGAGGTTTGGTGTCTTTATGACTCTTCAATATATGCTGGTATGAGTTAAAGATACTGGCAGGGTCTCCTAGGCCAGACAAGACAAACAAGAGCAGCTAAACAATGTAATTCCCGGTCATTACATAAAGCAACAGCTTCTCATAAAATTAAAAATTGCATAATACTGGGCAGATCTACTTAGATATAATAAGGCATATGACATGTTACTGCATCATAAAGATGTTTATATAAACTGTCACTATGTTTTTATGGGGTTAAATGTAAATTGCAGGTGTCCGAGGTAACAGCTCTCCTTCAGCAGTGGCCTAAACTCCCTGTTGAGAAGGCGCTTGAGTTACTGGATTATGCTTATGCTGACCAAGCTGTCAGAAGCTTTGCAGTGCAATGTCTGAAAGATGTCAGGTAAATTTATCTTAATTTCATATAAGTTGAACAAATAAATGTAACTGAATGTGGTAACTGAGTGAAATTGAGAAACTGTGCCATATTAAATACAGTTATGTTTTGTATTGCAATTTTCAGTGGAATGCAGTCAGTCTTGGACCTCTATAAAAATGGATTCACAGATTTAAATTCTGTTAGTACAACAATATTTTTGTGTCTTCTGCATAGGGAGGTCTTGTGATGGACCAAATCCCAATCCTACTAAGTATTTTTAAACTAAGATTGAAACCTCTGTAGTTTAAACTGAAACATACCACTTCCAGGCATACAAGGACTGATAATGAATAAACAGATGGACTTTTTATGTAATATGTGGCTGCATTTGTGAGGTAGTGCATACTGAAACATATGAATGTATGTACTATAAGCACTGATTCATACTGCGGCATAATTTGTATTCAGATTGTTTTGCAGTTGCAATAAATGTTCTAAAGAATCAGTGCTTTCTTTCCTTTTCAAAAAATTAGATTCAGCCTTGTATTGTTAGTGTAATTATCAAAATTTGTCAGGGACATTTGCAAAATGTAAGTTAGTAGGAGAGTAATTTAAAGATCACCACACCCACTATTAGTCAGTGCAGAAATAGAGTTTATTACAGAATGAGTCTGGTTATTTTATTGTCAGATCTCATATATATCACCCATGTTTTTGGATCATATTTATCCTTTTTTATTTTTGTAGTTACAACGAAGGAAATTAAATTTAACTATTAAAGTAAGGTATTAGATTTATGATGCCGGGATACGTCCATTTTTAATGCAACCTTATTTATTTCTGTTGTAGTGATGAAGACCTGTCTCTCTACTTGCTGCAGCTTGTTCAGGCTCTGAAGCATGAGTCATATTTATTTTGTGATTTGGTTGAATTCCTTTTAAGGAGAGCACTTAGCAACCAAAAAATTGGACACTATCTTTTCTGGCATCTCAGGTATTACTCCCTTTCATTGTTCTCTGCAGTATGACTAATGAGATAATTTAAGAATTTTTATAAATAAAGAGTTGGATTAGCATGTTAGGAACTAGTTTCATACAATTGGTCATCCTAGAAAATGTTCCATGGTAGAACACTGCACATTATTAGTCATTATATGATTATGCTTATTATTACATTGATAGTAATGGGTTGATGAGGAAATAACTACAATTTATGATGATCATAATATGGGTTGTTATATTTTATTGGAGTAATAATTTTGGTGGTATGTTTATGGACATGATTATTATATTTTATTTATATACTTGGTCATCTAGTGCCATGTATCAGGCAATAGCCTAGTGGTCAGTGGTCAGAGATGTCTTTTTGTTTCTGAATACATCTTTAACTTTGGATGGCTCTCTCTGTGTGTGTGTGTGTGTGTGTGTGTGTATTTGTGAGTGAGTGTATAAATAAATAATTCTTTACATACTATGATGAAAGATACTGTAAAATTTCTGTTTGCTGTTGTTACATTTGAACCTTGAAGTTATGCCTGTTTGAATAGTTCATATTGTGTCTGCTTAACATTCTGTTTAATGCCATTGCTTTTAAAATGAATGACTGATGATGCTGATCACTGGTTGCAGATCAGAAATGCAAGTGGCATCTGTGTCTGTAAGATTTGGGCTGATCTTGGAGGCATACTGTCGTGGTAGTCAAGAGCACATGAAAGTGCTAGCAAAGCAGATCGAGTCCCTCGATAAGCTGAAAACAACAAGTGAGATGGTTCGGCAGCGAAAAGACAAAGATAAGGCTCGGAGTTTCATGCAAGAGTTCCTTGATCAGAAGCATATAGCAGAGTCCATATTTAGGGTGCTGAGTCCTCTAGATCCAAGCTACCGTTGTAAAAGACTCAAGTAAGTTGCACCTCATTCCAGTTTTAGCATATGATGTTTGAAAATTACAAGTCTGTGAAATATATTATACATGAGCTAACGCTCAATCAGTAAAGTAAAGCTGTACTGCTACATGCCATGGAGGTGGAGAGAAAGATGTATGGCTCCTATTCATTCTTGACCTCAGCGCTAGATGGAGGTGAGTGATCAGTGTCACATCCTATTTGCACTTACCCCTAGGGAAAGGATTGGTACCCATTGGATAGGAGGCTGGGTGGACTGCAAAGCCAGTCTGGACACTGAAGCTAGAAGAAATATCCTTTGTCCCTGCCAGGGATCAAACCCCAGTTGTCCTACTCATAGTCATACATTATAATGATTGAGCTACCCCATCTCATTAGTTCAGTCATTGTGGGCTGAAAAATAAATGAAGTTCACAGAAGGGATGTTGAATTTATTAATATTTATCATCTTTTCTAGTATGGCTTGGTGCCCACCTAGATTCCTATTCATTGGTCATTGCAGGCCTTCTCTGGCAGCTAGAGTGTCAGGTTTATCACCAGTGTCACCAGTGTCTAATGTGCATGCAAGCGTAGTGCTATAGATGCACAAACAACTTTACCTTTACATTTTGGGCTATGATTATTTTGGTGCAATTGGTAAGTTTGTTTTAGAATGAGGAACAAGATGCTATAACCATGCGTCTTTCCACTTTTACACTTTTCATAAGTTGGCACTTCTCTTTAAATCACTGAAGTCTACAGAAGCTGCACATAAGATCATAATGTAACATATTTATTTAATTAAATATTTAACAAAAACTCTCTAACAAATGTACAGAAAAGAGAAACTAATGGACTCAGAGTAAATGCCAGATTAGTCAAAGTCTTGTATGTGATCCCTGGTCAGCACTAGCTGCAGATTCTGAAGTGCACAGAATGAAGTGAAGCCTTTGCTTTGCTAATGATCAAATTTTTTAATGCAGAGAATACTAGGCTCCCAGATTAAGCTGATGGTTTCAAATGCAATCTTTCTGTCACAAGTGGTCTCACCTTCATACAGTAAAATTCCCATTTAATGTTTCCTTTTGAGTACAGTGAATTTGAAACTGAGGACTGCCTTACATGGAGAAAGCATAATGTTGAGATAATGTGGTTGATACAGAAAATTTAACTTTAAATGGAAGAAAACCTTAAAGTAGTTTAAATGGGGATACCACAATAATTATTTATTTATTAAGAAGTTCACTGGAGGCTTTCACCATACATGAAATTTACAGAACATAATGAAGGGATATCTTGCATGCCTTATGTACATTGAATTGCTTTTAGAAATGTGATGACTGTTGTAGTTCATGTATGCAGTGTTATTTAAGTTGAAGCATGATGCTTTTGTTTTCAGAGTGGATAAGTGCAAGGTGATGGATAGTAAGATGCGCCCTCTCTGGATTGTATTTGAAAATGATGATCCCTATGGAGATGACGTTTACATTATTTTCAAGAATGGTGATGACTTGCGACAGGATATGCTAACACTTCAGATGATACGCATCATGGATAAGTTGTGGAAAAAAGAGGGTCTTGATTTAAGGTAGCATTCTTCACTTTTGTAGCATAGTTATTCCTTTCAACATTGCACTATTCTCTGTAAAGATGGTAGTAGCAGTGGTCACAGAATATAATTTGTATGTGTAACATATCTACCTCATTTAGAAGTCCATTTAGCTAAGTGATTTATCTTTATTAAATCTCAGTTATTCTGATTAATGGTCCTTGGTGGGAAGGTAGAAGGGAAAAGACAGATAAGACATATTTAAAAGAAGAATTTTTTATGTTAAAATTGAGTGTCATGTTGTGGAGATTTATTTTTTAATTTCTTAAAAATAATGGGCAATTGAGTGTTATGAAACTGTCTTCTAATGCCAGATGTTACATTTAAAAAATTGTTTGACTCCAGAGGAATTTTTTTAACTTATCAAAAGTTTGTGAATATGAGTAATATATCCCTTACTGTGGTTCAGAGTCCATGTTAAAGGAAATATTGGCCCTTTCTTTTGGTCCTCTTTCTCACTGTCATCATTTCAGTGGGAGTTACAGAATCTCTCTTATGACTTCTGACATGTTAATAACAGATTCCTTCCTGAAAGATGAAAATCACTGTAACTTGGGTCATTATTTGTTGTAATTATCCCCTTTATTTGTTTGCATTTATATTTACACGTACTCTAAATGTACCAATTAGAGTACATATACACATACATGTATTTCCTGTTTTTGCTTTTACATGCAGTTACATTTATATATATATACACACACACACACAAAGAATATGCATCACATACTGTGTTCCTTACTTGTTCAGTAAAACTTTTTTGAGATTGTATGCTCAATGTATTTTCAGGTTATGAAAGCCAGATTGACATGGATATTAAGAAATGTTAGTACTGGAAACGTTTTTGAAATAAGTAGCAAGGAGCCTTACAAATAAATTGCTGAGTACTCAACATTGAAGTTACAAACACATATATCAAATCTAAAACTTCTTGACGATGGTGAAGAGTCAATTGAATAAAAATTTACTTGGATATTATCCATCGTCTAGTAATAAAACGTAAAAAACGTAAAACGACATTTCGGAGATGGGGCTCTATCTCCGTCTTCAGGTTCCTACTCAGTTGGGCCCACTAGATAGAGCTAATCCCTATCTCCGGACCGGTCGTTTTACGTTTTTTACGTTTTATTACTAGACGATGGATAATATCCAAGTCAATTTTTATTCAATTACAAACACATAGTTTTCCATCACTGTAATTAAAAATGCATTTCCCAAAATATATCAAATATAAATACTAATAATTCACTAATAGTCATAGAAATTGATTTATGGGAAAAATGTACTTTGCAGAGATAGATTTTTTGATAATCACAGTATTTTATAATGGTAATATTAATTGTATTGGTTTATAAAATAAGGTCATCTCTCCATTTCTTCTCACTGAAAATGAAAATAAATGCTCTGGAATTATATATTTACAAATGTTTTGTATTTTCAGGATGAATCCTTATGGCTGCATCTCAACAGAACACCGGGTGGGTTTAATTGAAGTAGTGCTGAATGCAGAAACTATTGCCAACATTCAGAAAGAAAAGGGAATGTTTTCTGCCACTTCTGCATTTAGAAAAGGCTCCTTGCTAGGTAAGCAATCCTCCAGTTTGGATTATACATATCTTCAAAATGCTTTCTTTGTGGTTTTATAGGTACCTCATTGACCTCTTTGTTGATTTGTTGCTGATGCTCTTCATATACCAGGACAGTTCAATTATATTTCTTTTTCATATCATCAAATATGTTGTCTTATTCTTACAAATTTATATTGATTGTCTCTCCATAATAGGTTGAATTTATTCACTTCAATATCCTGTATTTATGAGATTGAAATTTTCAGTGTGAGTTCAAATTGTGGTCTTTGATTGTTGCACCGTGTAGTCTTGTAGGTGGTTACCAATACTTAGAAGAACATACTGTGCACATACAGCATTGCATTCTATGAAATTATTGAATCTGTCAACTCATGACAGAACCTTGATCCTGTTTTGTAGTTGTATGATGGCTCTTTACACATAGTGCTCAGAAGTTATCATTGTGTGTGAGGATGCATTCATTATCATGTTATATGTTTCATTTACTCTGTTGAATTTCATTCTAAAGAGATCAGCTTCAGTTTGTTTCATTGGTTTCCATTTTCACATGTGTTTTTAGTCTGATGTATGAAGTGAAGCTTTTGCAGCAACTGAAGTTGATTAAAGAATCCTGGGTTACAAGCCATATCAGGTGGCTGAAAGATTAATAAACCATACCTTCTGCCAGTGTTTTGAGAACAATCTCTGTTCTCATCCTCAAGCCTGCTGGGTAACCAGTCTGTTCCTTTGTTGCACGCTAGCTGATATGAACTGGCAGAGGATGGCAGGTAGTGATGATGTTACTGGTAGCCCATCCGTTGCTTTGTTTCACACTGGCCAGTGGGAACTGGCGGTTGAGGTCACATGCTTACACTAGCTGGGTCCGACTTCTGGGCCGATGGCAGTTTTGTCACAGGATACCAAGCCCCGCTCAGAGTGAAACCATAATTTCTGTTGAAGTTGCTGTTCAGGCGGATCTCAGTGGCTTCTTTTATGAGCCGGTCCATATATCCTGATGCCTTATCCAACATGGAGGTTCTACGGAAGTCAGTGTGGTGCCCTATATTTATGCTGTGCTCCACTACTGCAGACTGTTTGGAGTGTTCAAGGCGGATGTGCCTCATATGCTCTTAGCACCTGGTCTCAGTGGATCTCCTTGTCTGCCCCACGTACACCTTTCCGCACTCGCATGGAATCCTGTGTACACCTGGAATATTCAGACCTAGGTCATCCTTTATGTGCATGAGCATATGTCTAATTTTCTTTCTAGGAATGTGGATGGTCCTGATGTGTTTTTAGTCTGTTTAATACAAAAATTGTTTACTTTGAATCAATGGTTGTAGTGCACCCATAAAATATGTAGTAATTTAAGATTCACTTATATTAACAAATATTATTTTTCTGTGATTCAGCCTGGCTGAAGGATAACAACCAGTCAGAGGTGTTGCTGAACAAGGCCATTGATGAATTCACCATGTCTTGTGCCGGATACTGTGTTGCCACATACGTTCTTGGTGTTGCTGATAGACATTCAGATAACATCATGGTGAAGAAAACTGGACAGGTGAGTGATACTATGGTGCTTCCATATTAAAAATAGATTATGTTGTCTTATGGGCTGTTACTTCCAATGATGCCACCCATAGGAAGTCTGATTCTTTCTCGTTTGCTAACTGAGCTGTAATGTACTTACTTTCCTTTGTGAGATGTTAGTGAAGGTGTGTCAGTAATTGTATAGTTGGATGAACATTTTGTATTTGCTTTAGAAATAATGCATTCCTTTTTTTTTAGATTACCATTATCCTGCTTACTAAATATTGCAGCCTCTCCCTCCCCCTCTTTTATCTGATGTTTTCAGCCATTCTAGTACATTATGAAGACTATAGACACTTAGGTTTTCCTGTATTATTCTACTAATACAGTATACATTGAGAAAAGTGGCTTAAGCATACAAGTGAACAGAATGAATCTTAATAAAGCAGTATGGATGGTATGGGCTGAATTCATAGACTGCTTTCCGCAAAAGGTGGGGACTAAAACATTACTGCTGATTGGTTAGCACTCATGCTTCATTTTCAGGAGGTCTCAGGTTCAAATATTGACCTATAGACTGGCTGTCCTGACTTGGGGTTTTCCTCAGTCCCCACAGACAAATTCCAGGATAGTGCCTTAAATTAGCAGATGACTGCTGCTTTCCATATCATTTCACTGTTAATTCTGTCATTCGGTACTATAGTCTGAGCTACTAACTCATTAATAAATGACAAATAATTGAAAGGTAGAGATTTTCTTGAGGACCTGAGGTACTGTTAGCTTCCAGAAAAAAAATCTGCCCTATTTTGCTGGTTAATTGAGAGTATTATACCCCTGCCCCTCCAACTGTGACAGTGAAGATTTTTGCAAGTGCTTTGATATGAGTAGTCTTTCCATAATTTTACCTAATGTTTACTCTTTCAGTTGTTTCATATTGATTTTGGTCATATCCTGGGTCATTTCAAAGAAAAGTTTGGTTTTCGCCGAGAGCGTGTCCCATTTGTACTCACACATGACTTTGTGCATGTGATCAACAAGGGACAAACAAAGAAGGAGGCCCTTGAGTTCCAGGTCTTCCAGAAGTATTGTGAGCAAGCATTCTTGATTCTCCGGCAACACGGTAGTCTCATCATCTCACTTTTTGCGATGATGATCTCCACAGGCCTACCTGAGCTCAGCTCCGAGAAGGACCTCAACTACCTGCGAGATACTTTAGTAAGTATATTGTAATGAACAGTATGTACATTTTAACCATTGTACAAATAATTTAGTTTTTACAGATTAATTCCTCAGGGAATGTTATAACTTGATGTTTCTTATGTGGGGGCATACTGATCCACCACATACCACCAAGATCTGCACCGGCGGCGGCTCCAGGCGGGCTCGCGCCCTGACCCTTCCGCGCACACCGCCGCGCCCTCCTACTCGCCGGGGCTTCAGCTTACACGCCTTTGCCTTCCGGCGGCCGGGTATAGGCACGGAGCTTTAGCGCAAAAATTGCTTCTTGGTTTTGGATGATACATAAAAGTGAAATGAAGAAGTAAATGTTATGACTCTTTCTTAATCTTTTAAAGCTCATAGTTAACCGATGTTCTACCTACTTTAATAATTAGTAATTGTATTTTCACCCACAAAGTATATTTATTTTTATATATAATACTCTGAACAAACTGCTATCATTTCTTTAAACAGCATTAATCACCTGATCCTTATAATGGAGAAGTCTTGTATTTTCTTTGTTGTAGAAACTGAATTTTTAAATATTATTTCCCAAAACTTTGGCTTCAAAGATTTAAGTTAACCAGAGATTATGTGGTCTTCAGTTGTCTGAACAATGATGTGAACAGTTCCTAAACTGTATGCATCTGTTGTTTCTATAACACATCCAGCAGCCTGTCCCCAATATTCAGTTTTATAGGTGACAACTTCTTGTATCATCATTACTTTAAAAAAACAGATTTCTAAGGAAATGGTATAATCACCATAAACCTGTAAAAGTTCAAATCAGTTATTAAAAATTGTCATATTTGAATTTATTTTTCTGCAGTACTATACAACACAAGGACAATAAATCGAGTTGCGGTAAACGTTTATAAAAGATCCTTCTTGAAAGATATGTAACTTTATAATAATCATAAATGGAGAGTACAACAACTTTTTATTAGACAAGCAAAGAATGAAAATTTTATGTTCCATTCCTTCATTGTTGCTAAGTACTTATTATTAAAACTATGCATAGTATGGTAAACAAATACTAGATATCATTTATCTGCTTGAACAGAGCAGCTATTTTTACATAAAAATGCCTTAGTGTCCATTTCTTCTCTCAAAAGATTGGTTTGTATTTTGCCCAGCGTATCTATGAGCATACCCGTTTGTGTGCGTGTGTGTTCAATAACACTTATTTTCTGCAGTATTGGTCATTTGCACTGATTTCCTTTTCAAACAGTTTATTAAAATGTCTTCATAAAAATCTTGTTTTGTTAAACAAAAATAACAGTCATAAACTCATCGCTGACATGAGCAGATAATAATATAACCATGTGAAAAAATTAAGACAGGTAATATCACTGTTCTTGAATCTTATGCTTATTGCATTTTTGCTCCTTCAACTTAATTGCCATGCTATACCTTATGTAAGGATTATATGTTAGTTTTGTATCATACATGATAAAGAAGAGAATCACAGCCCTCTTGGCTTGACTTGGAGAAACTAAGGGAAATTGCATGAACGCCTGATTTAGAATTAGCTGAAATTGAAATCATGTTTCACCATATACAAGTCAATTCTTGATACTAAATTACTGTATATTGGGTATATCTGTGCTGTCTCTGAGATTTTGTGCCTTTAAAATGGTAGTAAAAAATGTTTAGATTGTTTGATACAAAATATTATTTTTATCATAATCATTCATTTTATTTTTAAGGTGATGGAGAAGTCAGAACAGGATGCCCTAACCCATTTCCGGTCCAAGTTTGATGAAGCCCTCTGTAACTCTTGGAAAACTTCACTCAACTGGGCATCCCATAACATGGCCAAGAACAACAAGCAATAATTGAATAAACATTAACTGGTGTTGAACAAATTGCAATCAGTATTGTTCGTGTAACAAGATTAAGTGGAATGTGTTGGCAGATGTATAGAGAGGAGGTAAGTGAAAAGACATGCAGCACATTTTGTGAGATTTTAACCCCTCCAGTTCCAGATCAAAAAATGATTTGCTGGAAGATGAATCATTGATTCAGCATACCATTTATTTGATTTTCACAGAGAGTTAAAATGTGTGTACAAATGCTGGTCAGCTTTTGCCTTGGAAATGAAAGTGGATGTTAGCTCAGAAAAGCATCTAGTATATCATTTCAAGATACAATACAATATATATATTTTTTTCCACCAATATGTTTTGTACAGTATCAGTCAGCCATAGTTTGAATAAACTTTAGTACAGAATTTTTTATAATATTCTGAAATCCTTTTATACAGCACTTGCTTTCATACCAAGTAGTCAAAGTGATGAAATCGGTGAATGATACGATTTCTTAGTTCCATTAGAATGAGTGAAAATTGTAGTCACAAATACTGTTGTTGTTTTTATTTGTCTTGTTTATTTCTTATCCCATTCTCTAAAGCAAAGGGCTGACAACTGAAATGTACTACTGATGAATAAGAAAGAGTTTTTGATGGAAATGACAAACCTTTGGGAGTGCATTGCTAACTAAATTTATGCACAGCTGTCATACATTTCCTTGTACTAACTACCTGTTGCCATTTAAGCATTCAAAGGAATCAGTAAAGTAATGTATCATATAATGTCATGAATAATCCAAAAACCAAAAATACAAGTACTTTTGCTTTCCTGCTTTTACAAAACTTCATCCTAAACTGCTACAAAATGAAGGAAAGTAGTACAGGCATCTCTCCGTTAACGAACATTCCGTTATAACAAACGTCACAATTCATTCAAAATTTCATAAAGTCGCCAATAGATAGAGATGGTATTTACAGTGAAACCTCAACGCATGGTTTTTGACTGGGGGAGAGAAATAAAAACGATGAATACGGGAAAACGACAGTTGCGGGAAAGCATTAAAAATGAGAAAAAATGAAAATAGTGCATTTTTCTCTTTTGCATACACAAAATAATACACATAAAACCGTTTCAAAGTTACTTCTTTTCGGTAAAAAAAGTCTTTAATAGATAACTTTACGTTTTAGGCGAAACAGAGCCCTTTCCATGTTCAAAGCGTTTTCCTCATCACCTTCAAAAATGTAGTGCGCATAAAAGAACGAATTCACTTTTTCACCAATGCGGCATGTGCTTCGGCAAAACTCGGCACAGCTTCGGGCTTGTATTCGTCGTCTTTCCCTTCCTCACCCCCCCCCCCCCTTTCATTTCATCAAACGACTTATCGATGGTGTCAGCCGTGCATGTGGCAAGCTCGCTGTGCGTCTTTAGATTTTAATTTATCTCTAAAACGATCATTTTAAATCCTAAAAACATTGCGTAAATTTATCAGTGCGGGAAAATTGTGGGCCAGGACTAAGATTTTTGAACTATTAATGCGATTAAACGACAGTTCGAGAAATGATAGAAGCGAGAAAATATAACATTATTTTATATGGGACGTATCAGGGACCGAACTAAACAAGACGATGCTTCCGGGAAAATGATAGTTCGGGGAATGATGGATAGAGGTTTCACCGTATGTACTTCTTGATATTTGGTGCAAGGTCTCAGGTAGTACTGATTAAAAAATTACCCAGTACAGATAAAATTCATGATTCATAAGTACAATTAAAAATCTGCATTCTTTTGAGTGTTTAGATTCAACAGCATGTTTATTTTTTTGTTTAGAACATAGAGATGCACTTTAAAATTATATGCCCTGCATCCATTAGTGTCTTCTGTATCCTAATTATTTGAAACTTCTGAATCAAACCTAAGCACTGTGTTAGTGATAAAGTGGATGCCAATTACAGGGAGTTACAATAAGACAGTTTGTCTCTGGGTTTTTTAAGTTCTGAATCACTTTCCTATCATGTTGTTATTCAGATATTAATGATTGCTTACTAGTGCAAAGGTTCAAAGACAAGAGCAAGCCACAGAATTTTGACGTACATGTTCTGTAATTTATAATGATCACCAAATAATGTTCTTTACATACTCAGGTAACTACTTTTATTGCTGGGGAAAGTTATGGACATTCACAAGAACCCTTTTTGTCACACTAGATTTTGTTGTTTCTTGGCACTACAACCGTTGTGGGTTTTCACCGCCTCCTTTTCGGAGGTATCTTAGGTGGTGGTCTGTCATGGTACCTCTCACTATTTCATTTCTTTCTCAGCTAAGGGTTTGTAATCTGGCAGGTGATTTGTGCAGACAGCAAAAACTTCTTTGGTAAATATGTAAGGAAAAGAATGACAAAGGAAGTTATCATAAAACTCCATATCATTTACAGGCAAAGGGGTATGTCAGCATAGTCTAACAACAGCATTATTTGCTGCCACTAAGTTTGGCTTACCACTTACCATAACATTTCTTCTGGACATATAACTGAAAATTATGTAACATCCCTGACACATCTGATAGCACCCACATTTTATATCCCCACTTATGTGGTTCTTTTGGGTTGTATGTCTTTAAATTTATTGTATCCTTGAATTCTTCTGTGTCAGTTTCCTGCCTTTCTATGCTTGCTGTTGTATCAGAACAGTCCTCATCACTTGACTTGCTGATATTTGGACTAAACCAATTGCTTGTTTCCTACATCTTTAACTTATGATTCAGAATCCTTACTTTCTGGGGCTGTATCTCTTATATGGGCCACTGTAGCCTTCCTTCTTCTGTAAGACAACGTTTGGATCCATGATGTGTAGAAAGAAATAATTCAGATACAGTATGCATTCACATGGTTTTTCTTATTGGGGCCATGAAAAAAAACGCACTCACACACCAGCTTGTCTATGCCTACAAAATAAATAAAAGTTCTAGGCATGATAAAACATATTTTACTTGCTTTTGAACTTACCTATACTTATCTTGAGATAGTACTAAAAACCATGCAAAGACAACCACCACTGGCAACTATCTGCAAAAGACTAGAAACATGTCCAATAAATGAAGAAAAATAAACTGGTTAGTACTATTATCTAGTGGACAGTCTCAGCTACAACCTACATCACTTTCGTGTATGGAACAATGCATGTATGAAATTCAGACATCATAAATAGAAAGTGTTTTGATGGGGAACAGAATGCAATAGAGGGTTAGTATGAAACAGAGATGTAGTACACAAAATTAAAAACTTAATAAGGAACTATATTATAAGCCATTATTAACATACACAGCATTGTGACTGCAGTGAAATTATACTATTAAATGCAAAATGTATTGTAATGGAATTCTGGCATAATATAAAGACATTCTCTTTCTGTAACATAAAGAATTATCAAAGTGGAAAACGAGTTATTTGTATTATCCATAATTAATGGGTGTAAACCAGTTTGTTTAATTGGCTTAACATTTTCATGTTGCCTGAAGCAAGGTAAAAAATGCAGACAGTTTGTTAGGTTATCATAAGAAAGTGTTGTTCTCTACATGTGACATCTAGAAGCAGGGACAGAACACAATTTTTGTTAACCATGAGTCCAAAAGTGTATTCACAACCATTATACTCATAGAGAAAGCCTGACACACACTGAGATACTGAAGTACTGTATTTCAGAAATATGTATGCATAGATGTACTTATATATTGGTAGTACAGGTTCTTCAAAAGCAAGGAGTGTGTATTAGGTTTAGTTCCTTGGTCAAATCATCACTTTTATTCCTCTAAAAACATACTTTTTATTATTGCTAGATCTTGTGATAGTTATATTATATTATGAAAGTTGGCCTTTTCTGCTGTGCTGAATTTTTAACGTGTTGCTGTCTCCCAAGGGTTCATCTGAATGGAAGATAGAGGGAAGGTGATATAACTTCTGCAGAGCTAGTGTGTACAGTATGGTAATTGTGTGCTGATATTACATTTTAAAAATCATAAATAGTTCCTAGGTATTGTCTGTGTATTGTTATTATTATTATTATTATTATCATCATCATCATTATCTGTCATCATAATCCCTCAAAGAAAATTTTATTTACATGTTACAAGTGTCATGTAAGTGAATATTGAAGACTGCTGTGAAATGAGGCAAGTAAAACTTAACACTGCTAGAATTCCTTAAAGACAGTACTGAATAACTTGCTTAAAATGTATCAGTTGTGATGAAGAAAGTGTGGCATTGTATTTGCATATTCCTATACTCTCACAGTTTGGTTAATACCCTGCTAGGAGCTTTTACAGACAGGTGGTGCTATAAAGAGTTAAGAGTGACTTACCAATCTTTTTCTCTCTCCCCATTTTGGATTGTGATGGGCCTGCACTGGTATTGATTGTGATTAATTTTGGAAAATTTGTGTTACATCAAAAATTATTGTATCATTGAAAGGGGAAATTCTGGAGGTATTCGAGGATATATAAACACATTCTTATTTTAGTCAGTTTGCAACATTTTACATTTCATGAAAGATAGACACTAACAGAAACTTTAAATATTGAGTCAGTGAATCAACCATTGATTGGTAACAGTTATTTTTTTAAAGAGCTTGCATACTGTGCAGTTATCTAAGTACATAAAATCAAGCATACAAACAAAACTGTTTACACTTTGAAAAGACACTTAGTGCCAAACGTGTTTCGACCTCAAGAGGTCGTCAGTGGCAAACAAATTAATTCATATAAATCATACAATTCATAAGACGATGGTTTGTTATAAAACCATGCTTTATATAATACCACACCGGATGTTAATTGCACAAGAGTTGGTGTATTATCTAAGTTCAGTTACTTAGCTTTGTGTCCACTGGCCTAAGTTGAGGTTTCCGTTGTTGGTTTATGGTGAGCCGTGGTTGCATTGTCTGTGCCTGTGAACTTCAACATTGTGTGGGTATTACAGAGGTCAAAACACGTTTGGCACTAAGTGTCTTTTTAAAGTGTAAAAAGGTTTGTTTGTCTGCATGATTTTATGTATTTTGTTGCCCTTCACATGTGTCTTAGAATTTCTTAGATCATCTTTAAGTTCTGTTCCATCTGATTCACTTTTGTTCATGATGTAAATATTGGACATTCATTTTAAAATACTGATACAGCTTCAAACCTGAAACTGAAACAGGATGAGAGACATTGTTTTCTCATTTATTGTTAAATTGTTCTGGGGATACAATATGCTTTTCAAGAATGAGTGTGTTGACAAAGAAGTAGACTTTGACAGGAATTATTTTCACAGCAAAGACCTTACCTGCAGAAGGTCAAGAATTGAAGACAAAAGGGTGGTGAGTCTTGCTGTAGTAGTCCAAGCTGTCATCTGAAATATGTCTTTCACTTATGCACCCACTGTCTGGAAGTTAGTTTAGATTGTAATTATATTGTTTTTCAAAGGCTCTTAATCTGACCCAGGAATCTGCTGCTGACTATATAACCCTTCTTCATTTAGTACAAAAATATTACAATTCTTGGCCAGTCTTAATTAAATCAGCAAAGTCCTCTTCTGTATAATATCTTGCATCTACAGATGTGACTTACAGCCTAAGCTCAGTTTTACATTAATTAATGTAAGACATTTCATTTCAACAGAAGTGTTCATACAAAGGTTGGTTTGTCTATATTTTAATTATAAGAATACATGGGAAATTTAAACTAGATGCCTTTATGGTATGATGATGCCAAACATTTCTGGTTTTGTTGAGAAGGTAGAACATATTTAATTTTTGTGATCTGATTGCAGATTACATCTGAGCTTTTGATGTAAAATGAAATTTTATTTTGATTGAATTTTGCTACTCATACATTGTGTTATTGAGCTATGGTTATCTTGGTCAGCTGGAAGACAAGACTGTAATAAATTAATATTTGATTTCTCATACTAGAATCTTTGCATTTCAAACATAAAATTCTTAACTTTGTTAAGCTGCCACACCAGCAGCTGGTTAGCGTTAGTCTCCTAAGACAAGCTATGGGTATTCTTTCAGATAAGTTCATGACAGATACTTGTTTTAAAATCCTTGAGCATGCTCTAATGTCATCATTTTGTGCATCAGTATTTAAATGAGTGTTTTTATTCAAATTTGGAGTCACATTTTTTGCCAGATCAGAGACAGAATTAATATTTACTATTATTTGTTTGAACTGCAATAACTGTTATGGGATATTGTTCTACTTTAATTTTTGGGCTCATAATAATTATTAATATGAGTCTCAATATTAATTGGTGCCATACTGGAAGGACAGTGAACATTATTTTATTGATGAATGTGCCTAAATATTTTTATGTAACAAATTATAATAGGAAGTTAACTGCCTCTTTCTTTCTGGAACCTTGTAGGTCTTTGTGCATATTATTGGTTCAGTTTAAGCATGAATAAAATACTGTATAGAAATTAAAAAATGAACTGTCATATTCCTATGTGATAACACAGTTTTGTTGGTGTCATGCTGTTGTTTGTGTATGTTTAAGACTGGATAGCATCCACCCATATTTTGTATATGTTGTCTTCTGGGATGTAACACTATGTGGAGGACATATGGTTCTTTGAAATGTTTGTATTAACATAAAAGTCCATATTGTGAGTCACACAAAAGACCAACACTTACACCTTCACAGTTGTGAGAACCTCAGATCTTAACTGTATTATATTACCTACGTGAAGTCTTCTTTGCATACAGTGCAACTGTTTGAATTATTTGAGGATAATCTTGCTTGGTTACATGATCCAGTAGAAAGTTGCATCCCTCAGCCATCTCTGTCATATCACTCGAAGAGGTGGTCAGAGTTTTGCCTTATTGTAATAAGTTATACGATACCTGTAGGAGGTGGCTTTGCAATTTCAAACAACACTGTACCACTCTCCAAATCACGAATTTTGAAATGTGTGAAGTCAATATCATATACATTGGCTTCAGGTGAGCACAAATAATCTGAAATGTTTTTTAAAAAATAATCACAGCATCAAGCAGAAGAAACTCTCAATACAACGTGATATACAAGGAAAATCATAATACTAACTATCTGTTATTCTTGGAAGCCACAACACATCCTCAGGTGAAACAAATCCCTTCTTCACCAGTGACTCTTCTGTAACAAGATCTGTAAGCGAAACAAGGTTTTATGGTTGTTGGTGCCAATTATGAGGGACTACAGAGAAGAGTTGTCACATCACTTCAAGAAAAGAAGAAACAACTTTTGAATTCTATGGAGTTCTATACTTAATTCGGTATTTCACTGTCATGATTTCGTGACGTAGCTCGATTTTCACATCATTCTTGTAATAATAAAGGTTTCATTTGCTATTATTTAGTTTGAATTTACTTAACCCTCTTTTCTGATCATGCAACTCATCATAAGGTATCGCATTAATATGATATAAACAATTACCTCCATCAAATATTACGGTGCCTTTACGCGCTTTGGATTGTCTTACACCGACATTTGTAACCACACTTTTTTTGTATGTGTGTGTGCAGCGTTGCTCATAATACTCATTTCTACGTACGTTTAGTTCAAACACCTGATTATTCTCTTGACCCCACACACTGCATACACTTTCCAACACAGACACACACATAAATTAACAAAAATATGAACAATGTAAACCTCTTATTAACGAATCAATCACAATTTTCTTTTAGATTTGCTAAACTATGATTCCAATACATATCAAAAGATGTCGCGTTAAAGTAACGGCTCTGTTTTTTTTCCCAGTTGGCTGCAGGTTGCTGGGTCGTGGGTGATTACGATTGTGGGAAAGAAATAATGTCTGGTGAAGAGAGATGCCAGTTGTACAAGATGCTAACATATTATGACAAAGAAACAAGCAGAAATTTAATTTATATAAAAATTAATCATAAAATAAAGGTAAGTTGAGATTTGAGGTCCTCACGGCGACGAGTGTGAAGATGGCTGCTTTGTGGAGTGTTGATCCGTATAATATTGTAGATAAATTCTAAATCCTACAAACATAAAGTTTGCTGACATTTCAGAGATGTTTGCTGCCCCCATCATCAGGACGGTCAGCTACAAATTTCACATCTTGTCAGAAACTAGACAAATGAGTGTGAAAGCGTAAACATAGATTTATGTCTATCAAAATTACATATCTTTGTTTGCTTACACTGTTCTTGTAAATGTTCCAGGTCTGTGATGCTGACACATGACAAGGACTTGGTTTCATCACCATCTGCTGTAACAGCGAGCGACTACTGACACACAGCTGTATGAAGCAGGTAATTTAACAGTTTGAGGTTTCCATGATAGTGAAAATGTGGATTGTAGTCTAATGGGTTGTGATGCTTCATAACCTTGTAGGTGGTTGCCAATGTCATAACTACCATCAAAACCTCAGACTTCATATAGTTAAATAAAACATTGTAATCTGAGACTTTTGAGCTACGTGGGTAATGGACAATATTACACAAAGATAAACATTGTGGTCTATACTCCTTTCCTATCTTTGTTGCTTTATTGTATCAGAGATGTCTGTGGTTCTCTCATGTAGCACACAAGATATAAGAAGCAAAGTCATATGAAAATTGGAAGATTAAGCCTAAAATGAAATAATAGTACTCAGATGCTAATGTAATTGGCTAAGGAGAGTTGGCCAGTCCTGTACATTGCAGCTTGAATATAAATTTTAGAATCTGTTTGAAAATGATTACAATTTTAAATAGGAGTGTGATACAAAGGCCAGTTAATGAAGGTGCCTTCATCATTGGATCATAATGAGATAAACAAGTAATACTTTTTAAATAATTTATATGAAGTACAAGTCACTTGTTCAGCTCCATGCATTTCATTGTTTCTTGCAGAACATTACCACATAGGACAGTAGTCTTACATGAGACTGTAACCTGCATTTTGCAATAAATTTGGCCTTTCCCACACTTTTCTCTGTTACCTGTGATTTTGTTGACAAGTCAAAAACTTTTGTAGGGTTTGAGGTTTTCACAGCGGTGAGTATGAAGATTTCCATCTTCTGGGTTGTTGCGCTGTGTAGTCTGGTCGATGTTAACCAACGTTTCAGAGGTCATACTGCCTCCGTCATCAGGGGGCCCTGATGACGGAGGCAGTATGACCTCTGAAACGTTTGTTAACATCAACCAAACTACACAGCGCAACAGCCCAGAAGACGGAAATCTTCAAAAACTTTTGTTTTCACTTCTAGAAATGCAGGCATGGCCTATTGTGCAACAAGGAGAGACTACTGCTCATATTACAGCTCACCTGAGGACGCAAGAGGATGCTGAGCAGCTAGTCCTACATTATGTTGGATTATAGATAGAAGCATGTGCATGTTGCGCCTTTGTGTGAGAGATGCGTGTTTGGAATAAAACATTATGCAGGAAGAACTTTATTATGCTTGTAGTAAGCTATCTCAACAGCAGACATTTATGTATAGTTAATTTGTTCCTTCTGCAGAATTTTGGTATGAAATCTAGAGTCCATTAATTCTGATCATCGCCTATTTCTTGTTGCAGGCCATGGATTTTATTAAGAAAGTTGTCTGATTAGGAACTTTAATTTTTGTCTGAAATTTTTTGATTTACACTATAAATGTATCTGATAATGAACTTTGTTCAAATCTCACTAATTTTGTGGTACATTGGAACTTGATGTTTCATTCGGCCAGCATAGTGTGATGAGAGGATATTAAGAGTTTTGATTAAAATATTACCATGGTAATAGTTGTGTCACAGGATAAGAGAATTTTTTATGGAGACTGGAATAAGAGAAACTTGTGTGTTCTTTCTTGCTTTTTTGGTTAATGCGAAGATAGATTTACATGCACTTGAAGCATTGTGGTACACTATCAACTTGAAGCATGTTAAGTTAAGTTAAGTTGTTGTACAGTTGGCAGAGATGAAGATGATAACCAAGTAAGAAACTTTCTGGTGTCTGTATAATTGTGACTAGTTGGTAACTGGAATATGTTAGAGAAATGCATAGACTATTCCTAGTGACAGTGCCTTCAGAAATATGTGAACACCATATTTTTAGGGAGAATGCCTTGAAAAATACATTCTCAATTGGAAGGTTTAAAAAATACGGAAACGTAGGTAGTATGTAGCAGTAGGTGTGTATTGAATTGTCAGGTAAATATTTTTCTTGCTGAAGGAAAGTCAAAGAATGTGTGGTGATTGTGATTGTTGAGTCTGCAGACGGAGCTGGCTTTGGCTCATATTGAGATTGCTTTTTTGAAAACTGCAGAAAATACCAGTTGTAGTTGTAGCAGTAACTGTTCATCCTCTTTGTGGACCAGCATTAAAGCCAAAGACCGACGCAGAATCAAAAGTCTTTCCTCCGTAAATGATCATGTGAATGTGAATGTAAAACTGACCAAGAAGTTTGAGCCTCTAAGTATGGAGCCAAAAATTGTTGCTCAGTTGAAGAAAGATGAGAATCCTAAACCTAAAAATAAAAAATATAAGGTTCTGCTTCTAGGCAGTAGCCATGGTAGAGGGTTGAGTGACTGGCTTCACGCAGTCCTGGGGTCTGAGTATGCTGTCACCAGTATATTCAAACCAAATGCTGAACTTCACAATGTTGCCAAAGACCTGAAAGCACTCAGTAAAGATATGACTAAGGATGATCATGTAACAATATAGTGGATGGACCAGGAAATAGCCTTGATTTGGACAGAAATTATCAAATTGGAAAGGACTTGAGCTACATTGCGAACGACAGCATAAATACAAATGTTGGATTTGTTGGCCTTCTCTGGCGTCATGACAAGCCTCATATGAGTATCTCTTTGAAAGCTGCCGTAAGCAATGTCTAAATTCCCTTTAGCAACGTTTAATCTTACACCTACAGTTAGTTTTCCCACAAGAATTCAAAATAGCTCCAACTCTGCCATTGATAATATTTTTGTAGATAGTTACAGGTTAGAACACATTTCGATTAAACCAATAATGAATGGGCTATCTGATCATGATGCTCAGCTATTAGTTATAAAAAACATAAACCGTATTTCTAACTTTCTCAATGATAAGAAGGTAACTAGAGTGATAAATGAAGTGACTTTAATTGAATTTATACAACATCTGAGTAGTGAAGATTGGGAATTATTACCCAATGGTGCTGTTATAGTTTTGAAGTTCAATTCTTTTCTAAAGATCTTTGTAAGAATATTTGAAAAAGTTTCCTTACTAAAACAGAGAAAAATTGTCTGAAACCAATGTACGGATAACTAAAGGCATCAAAAGATCATGCAATTATAAGTGAGCTCTACCTAAATAGCAGGACCAGTAATAACCAACTGCTGAAGCAACACTATAGAAAATATTGCAAAATTTTAACTCAAGTCATTAAAGAAGCTGAACGCGTGCATTACAATAAATTGATAGTAGAGTCTGAAACTAAAGTAAAAAAAAAAGAAAAAAGTAACTGGCAAACAATCTAGAGGCATTTAAAGCCCACCAATAATGATAAATAATAATAGAGTAAATGATCATAAACTTATGGCAAACTATTTTAATACATACTTTTTAACGATTGTAGAAAGAATGAACGGCAGTGATACCATAACCCCAAAAACCGA